GGGGGGGGGGGGGGGAGGGGGGTCAGAAGAATCTAGGAACCTATGATTGAATGAAAACTAAAACATGTAGTGTAAAGTGACAAATGTTGTCATCAGTCCGACCACAGCGGTATAAAAACACATTAACTATCCCTCGGCCACCATTCCAAGGTCTCTGGAGCGCAGGCCCCCGCCCCCCGCTTTCAACACTGACTGTTGTATGTTGCTCAACTAATTAAATCGGAACCATATGTCCCAGAGTGCTGCATCTTATCACTAATAATTGGGAGTGTCTTGACCGTTGCACCGTTCTTCTGACAGGAGATAACATCCAGACCGCCTTCATTTTCAGATATTTTACATCAAAGTTCCTCGATGGAGGGAAAATGCAACCTTCACTGTGGAACCTGCTGTGTTTCACGGGTGGGAGGGGGGGGGGCATTCAGTCAGCACTTCAAAGGGGTAACACCTTGTTTTGGGCACATCCGACCGCTGCATGTGTCTCTGCAGAGTCACGAGACAGAGACAGAGACAGAGACAGAGACAGAGACAGAGCGTGCAAATGGGGGCACATCTGCAGCACATTTCCTCCGTCTCTGATTCGCCCTCACGTTGTTCAGATCTCAGCTGGTAGACAGCACAGGCGGTCGCCTCTGGAGTCCAATGGCAGTTTGCTCCCATCTAGTGGACGCATACTGTCGCAGATGAATCTCGATTTTTGGAGGTGCTTCTCTCGGAGGTGGATGAGCGTTGGGATGCTCTGGATCTTTGAACTCTGGGGCCCAAGTGGCATTTAGGGAATTTGACTTTAGCTGAGTTTAAGCTGAGTTCCGGAATGGTTCTCTGCTGATTTGACCCCTGGGGTCAGTCCAGACAGGGGTCTGACTACTTCATTCTACCTTAAGTCAAAGTGAATATGATAATGAAGTTGCTCTGTCTTCAGTCAGCTGTCTAGTCCAACCACCGCCGAGGTAAGAGCTTCAGGCTTCAGTGTTTCCAGATGGTGGAGGGAAAAGTGAGGTTGTCATTGGTGGAATGTGGTCAAAGCAATTATCAATCACAGTGTCATGTGATGGACCATGTCCGAACTGTGATGACACACATCAGTGAGTACAGCATGAGAAGAACCGTTAGCAGAGAGGATGTTTGTTTGTTTGTTGGTGTAGAATCAGAGCCTAAATGCTTTCTTCTAAAGTACGGCCCGGGGGCCAAGTGTGGTACTCAGGCACGTTTGATGTGGCCCAGAAATTCTTAGAAAAGAAGTGCCCAAACTCTGTGAACGACTGTGTCAATACTTTGATCTCCTAGTTATTGATCAAGACATAAACAACAAATACAGTGGAGGGAGGGACGGGACCAGCCTCCAGCCAGACTCCTGAAGACTCGATGACAAATGTATCTTTTTATACGTTTGGTTTGACTTGGTTTGAACTTGTTGCAGCTAAACGACGATACTTTTCTAAGTTGTTGGCAGCGCCAGCGTTGCCGCTACTGTTCTAGGAAAAAGTCTTAAATGCAACTTTTAACAATTACAATGACATTAATTAAAGTGGGATCATTCAGCGTAGGTTATGTTCTTATCAAACGTAACATTTGTGTCGGGGTTTGTCATTCACTCGGGCTAGAAAGACAGTGGAACTGTGGGACATTTGTCTTCAGGTCATGACCTATGAAGTAGTTGAACGCCGGTGTCACGTGGTCAACTCCTTTCTTCTTTTGTTTTAACTGTAAACAGCAGCTAGAACATATCTGACTGTTCTCACACCTTCACCATCAAGATCGGTGTTGATTTAGTGTGGGAGTGTGGTGTTTGAACGCTCCTCCTGCCCAAACATCTCACTTCATTCTTGACACGTCGTTTGTCAGTTTGGGCGTTACGACACCTGACGTCAAGCTGAGGTCAGGCCTCAGTTAACACCGTCCTACTGTCATTAACTAGGACTCTTTATCGATGGTATTGACGTGGACCAGGGTCAACTCTCTCAACAAATTTACACTAGTCTTTAAAAAATAAATACAACATTACAGCACAGTCCTCTGTCCGTTCTGGGAGAATATGCCCAGCAGGTGGCACTAAAGTGATCGTGTGTATTAAAACCTAAGTAATTTTAATTTTTTTTAGAAATTTAAAATTATTTAGAAAAGAATTCATGTTTTGTATTTTTTTTGTGTGTGTGTGTGTAAAAATTGCTGGGCTGTGTTGTCCCACCACGGTCGACCTGGTCGATAAACACTGCTCTGTTCAAAAGTCAATTATATAAAGTTCAGTTTTTACTGTGTTTATAAAACTCTGCACATTCAGATGTTTTATTATTTTTGATGTGACATAAAGAAATCCGGATTTGATGAAATCCTCAGCTTTTCCTTTAAATCCTTTAAATTCCACTCATTTTAGTTGAGGATTGAAATAGTTCTAGAACCAAAACCTTTGTTCTAATTCTCCACACACACTAATGGCTCACATTAAGAGACTGGACCATTACCAGGTCCCTGTGACCGCAATTTTCCACTTGACTTTTTTCTAATATCAAGTTGGATTTTCTCTCTCTCTCTCTCTCTCTCTCTCTCTCTCCGCCTCCTTCCTGCTGCCGTTACCTGAGCTCCTCACTTTAGTAAGAAGTTCACCTGAAAACAAAAAACCTTCTGTCTGAAATTGAAAAAAAAAAAAACCCATTTTCTCTGGTAAGCTGTAGACGAGGAAGCAGAGACGGACGGTCTTTGTATGAGGTGAAGAATGAACTCAAACCTCACAGTGAGAATGAAGTGGATTCACAGAAACTCATCAGAGTCTCATCAGTCCTGGCAGAACCTGCATCGACCATACATTTACATCAGTCACAGAAACCACTCTTTGATTTGGTTGTTGTTGTGGTCGTGAACACAGAAAGTCCTGGAACGCTCTGGAAATTTAGATTTTTTTTTTTTTTTTTTGGTGCGGTTCAGCAGGAAAACTGATTTGGGCCACGACCAGCAGTTCATCCTGTCAGCCCGTCACAGGACCGCAAACTACGACAACGACCACGACAACGACCACGACCACGACCACGACCACGACCGTTCACGCTCACGTTCAAACCTACGCTCTCATCTTCATGTTTCTGGACTACGGCCGTCAACTGTAGTAAAAAGAAATCCGTACTCAAAAGTCCAAACTCCAAACAGAATCAAAGACTGAACCTGGAAACCAGTGAGTTTTATTATTATTTATTTGTTTATCTATTTTATTTTTCTGGGCTGTGAACCACGTGTCCTGACCGTTTTTCGTCTCTTCTTTCTTGAACCACTGTTTCTAAAACCGTGGTTGCAGCAACATGTCCGTGGCTCATTTAGAGAAACATCACAGTTGACAAGCATTTTATTGCATGTGCTGAAAGACACGTCCAAATTACTCATGCCAAACTGGAGGGGGCGCTCTCTGGAGATTTGGTCTCTCTCTACAATTCAACATAGAAACTGTATTTAACCGTGAAGTTCCCACTTGACATCAGGCAGAAAATAAAGGACAAGAGTGAAATTCAGATGTGATCCACGTCAACGCCACCAGGTGGCGTCACAGCAATCTTTAGGTTTAGTTTTTCTACCATGATCTGAAGCTGTAAAACTACAAACAGTTTTTAGAACATGGTTACGACACGTGGGTCCATGTTGGAGGTCAACAAACCTCAGTTGTTTGCCGTGTCAGACGTCGACTTGTTCACACATCTGCAAGTTGACGCTGTGCTGTTTGTTTGG